AGGGACTGGGACCAGTATCAAGACTGGGACTGGGACTGGGATGGGGCCTGGGACCAGCAAAGGGACTGGGACCAGTATCAAGACTGGAACTGGGACTGGAACTGGGATTGGGACTGGGACTAGAACCAGCACAGGGACTGGAACCAGTATTAAGACTTGGAGTGGGACTGGGATTGGGACTGGAGGCAGCACCGGGACTGGGACCAGTATGAAGACTGGGACTTGGACTGGGACTGGGATTGGGACTAGGACCGGCACAGGGACTGGGACCAGTATCAAGACTTGTACTGGGACTGGGATTGGGACTGGAGGCAGCACCGGGACTGGGACCAGTATGAAGACTGGGACTTGGACTGGGACTGGGATTGGGACTAGGACCGGCACAGGGACTGGGACCAGTATCAAGACTTGTACTGGGACTGGGATTGGGACTGGAGGCAGCACCAGGACTGGGACCAGTATGAAGACCGGGGCTGGGACTGGGACTGGGACTGGGACTGGGACTGGGACTGGGACTGGGATTGGGACTGGGATTGGGACTGGGAGCAGCACAGGGACTGGGACCAGTATTAAGACTTGGACTGGGACTGGGATTGGGACCAGGAATGGGACTAGGACCAGCACTGGGACCAGTATCAAGACTTGGACTGGGACTGGGACTAGAGGCAGCACCAGGACTGGGACCAGTATGAAGACCGGGACTGGGACCAGTATCAAGACTGGGATTGGGACTGGGATTGGGACTGGGAACAGCACCAGGACTGGGACAAGTATCAAGACTGGGACTGGGACTGGAACTGGGACCAGGACTGGGACTGGGACCAGCACAGGGACTGGGACCAGTATCAAGACTTGGACTGGGGCTGGGACTGGGACTAGAGGCAGCACCGGGACTGGGACCAGTATGAGGACTGGGACTGGGACCGGGATTGGGACTGGGACTGGGACCAGCACAGGGACTGGGACCAGTATGAAGACTGGGACTGGGACTGGAACTGGGACCAGGACTGGGACTAGGACCAGCACAGGGACTGGGACCAGTATCAAAACTTGGATTGGGACTGGAAGCAGCACCGGGACTGGGACCAGTATGAAGACTGGGACTTGGACTGGGACTGGGATTGGGACTAGGACCGGCACAGGGACTGGGACCAGTATCAAGACTTGTACTGGGACTGGGATTGGGACTGGAGGCAGCACCGGGACTGGGACCAGTATCAAGACTGGGACTGGGACTGGGACTGGGACTGGGACCAGGACTGGGACCAGTATCAAGACTGGGACTGGGACTGGGACTGGAACTGGGACCAGGACTGGGACTAGGACCAGCACAGGGACTGGGACCAGTATCAAGACTGGAACTGGGACTGGGATTGGGACTGGGACCAGCACCCAGACTGGGACCAGTATGAGGACTGGGACTGGGACTGGGATTGGGACTGGGAGCAGCACCAGGACTGGGACCAGTATCAAGACTGGGACCAGGACGGGGGTCACCATCCCCTCGCTGACCCTTGGTCACTTGGTTCCTTCCAGGATGCAGGTGGCCCCGGTGGCCCCGGTGGCCCTGGTGGCCCTGGCCTGGGTGGCCCTGGTGGGTGCTGGGCCACCAGTAAGAGGAGAGGTGGCCCAACTGGTGGCCGACTTCGGGCTGCGGCTCTTCCGGGAGGCGCTGAGACACCAGAAGGACACCAACGTCATCTTCGCCCCCCACGGGGCCACCGCCGTCCTGGTGGCCCTCCAACTGGCCACCGCTGGGGACAGCCGGCACCAGCTGGAGGTGGCCATGGGCTTCAGCGTCAACGGTGAGGGTCCTCGAGGTCCTTGTCCTCAGGGTGGGGTGGGTGGTGGGGTCCTTGTCCCCATGGTGGACATCTCAGGGTCCTTGTCCCCATGGTGGGACACCTTGAGGTCCTTGTCCCCATGGTGGACATCTCAGGGTCCTTCTCCCCAGGGTGGGACACCTTGAGGTCCTTATCCCCATGGTGGACATCTCAGGGTCCTTCTCCCCAAGGTGGGACACCTTGAGGTCCTTGTCCTCAGGGTGGGGTGGGTGGTGGAGGGTCCTTGTCCCCAGGGTGGGACACCTTGAGGTCCTTGTCCCCATGGTGGACATCTCAGGGTCCTTCTCCCCATGGTGGGACACCTTGAGGTCCTTGTCACCAAGGTGGACACCTTGGGGTCTCCATCCTCATGGGGGGACACCTCAAGGTCCTTGTCACCATGGTGGGGTGGGTGGTGGAGGGTCCTTGTCCCCAGGGTGGGACAACTTGAGGTCCTTGTCCCCATGGTGGACATCTCAGAGTCCTTCTCCCCAGGGTGGGACACCTTGAGGTCCTTGTCCTCAGGTGGGGTGGGTGGTGGGTCCTTGTCCCCAAGGTGGGACACCTTGAGGTCCTTGTCCTCAGGTGGGGTGGGTGGTGGGTCCTTGTCCCCATGGTGGGACACCTTGAGGTCCTTGTCCCCAGGGTGGACATCTCAGGGTCCTTCTCCCCAGGGTGGGACACCTTGAGGTCCTTGTCCCCATGGTGGACATCTCAGGGTCCTTCTCCCCAGGGTGGGACACCTTGAGGTCCTTGTCCCCATGGTGGACATCTCAGGGTCCTTGTCCCCATGGTGGGACACCTTGAGGTTCTTGTCCCCATGGTGGACATCTCAGGGTCCTTGTCCCCATGGTGGGACACCTTGAGGTTCTTGTCCCCATGGTGGACATCTCAGGGTCCTTCTCCCCATGGTGGGACACCTTGAGGTCCTTGTCCCCAGGGTGGGAGGGTCCTTGTCCCCAACGTGGGACACCTTGAGGTCTTTGTCCCCATGGTGGACACCTTGGGGTCTCCAACCTCATGGGGGACACCTCAAGGTCCTTGTCACCATGGTGGGTTGGGTGGTGGGGTCCTTGTTCCTATGGTGGGACACTTCAGGGTCCTTGCCCCCATGGTGGGGGGTGGGAGGTCCTTGTCCTCGTGGTGGTGTGGGTGGTGGGGTCTCCATCCTCACGCCAGGTCACCCATGGGTGTCCCCAGCCCCATCATGGATGTCCCCAACCCAATGGTGGGTCTCCCATGGGTGTCCCCAACCCCACACCACATCACCCATGGGTGTCTCCACTCAGGGTCTCTCACGGGTGTCCCCAACCCCATGGCCAGTCTCCCATGGGTGTCCCCAACCCCATCATGGATGTCCCCAACCCCATCACAGGTGCCCCCTAACCCCACTCAAGGTCTCCCATGGGTGTCCCCAACCCCACACCACATCACCCATGGGTGTCCCCACCCAGGGTCTCCCACAGGTGTCCCCAACTCCATCACAGGTGTCCCCAGTCCCCCTCGGGGTCTTCCATGGGTGTCCCCAACCCCATCATGGATGTCCCCAACCCCACACCACGTCACCCATGGGTGTCCCCACTCAGGGTCTCCCACAGGTGTCCCCAACCCCACTCGAGGTCTCCCATGGGTGTCCCCAACCCCA